TTCTGTTGTGCATAGGATCACTAAGAGTTGGAACTGACTCTAAGGCACCGAAGAACAACATGAACAGAGAATTCAAAACATAAAAATTCAAAAATAAAAGATAGTCACAAAGTAGTTCTTGAGGCTATTTATGTACAACCAAACACCTCATGGGATTTAGTTCCTTGGTTTGGAGGTTTAGGATCATAATTTCATTGACATTTCAGATAACTGGCCTCATATAATTTTTAGTGATTATGTTCTGCTTCCTGGTTCATTGTCTAGCTTGCAATGCTAGACAAATAATTCTCTATTCACCTGGAGCATTAGAAGGAGAGTCAGAAACAGGAGAACTATACAGAATGTGTGGCCCAGTGCCTCCATGGCCAAGACACTGGATGGTGCTTGGCATTTGATCAAAGATTCCATAGAAGAATCTTGATCAAAAAGGAAAAAATACAGAATACAAATTCAAATTCTCATAAACGCTATACTTCCTGGAGCCCTAGAGAGTGGATGATCCCCTGAAACTATTGCCCTGAGATAATCTTTAAACCTTAAGCCAAAAATATTCCTTGAAGTCAACTTAAAACCAAACAAATGCTTAGCTTAACTAATGAAAAAGTCTGTCTTGAGCATTCTGTTCTTTTAAGAACTTGCTATATGGGATCAAGCTGGTAATCGTAACTTGAAAGGGAGCAATGAGTTGATGTGAATGAGGAAGGGACAACTTAGAAAAGGAAGGTGGGAGTGGTTGCACACCTCAGAGTGTAATTAACGCCACTAAAGTGTACATGGAGAAATGGTTGGATCTGCTTATGTTTTGTTAAGTATATTTTCAACAACAGAGTAAATACAATTTAGAAAAAAATTTTTTAAAAAAGGAAACTCCAGATTTCTAGGAGAAGGGGTTCAAAGGCAGCTGAGCACTCTGCTAAATTCAGTTCCACAAGATTCTGTCTTCTGGACGTGGTCTCTGACAAAGGGATACATTTTTATTTACCTTGCTTGGACCAGCAGCTTTCTTTTTCTTCAATTCATCTCTGCTTTTCTCACATTCATTCTTTAATGCTTTTTTTTTAAGGGAAAAAAGAAGTCGTAACTATTTTTAGAAAAAGTAATAAAAAAGGAAACATTTCTCATAAAAACATTATAATTATCAAATAAAACATTAGTGACAACTTGATTTTGATCTCAAAAACTCCAGTAAAAACTATATAAAGAGATACCTGTCCCTTCAATAGTAACTAATTTTCAAATCCTAAACTTGTATGTAATCACGTCACCTGAAAAGGGTAAGAAAAATGAGGCTGGTTTTATTATTCTACAGTTTAAACATTACAAGTAAAACCAGAAGAAAGAATCTTACTAGGTCAATATTTTCATCTAGTTTCTTTTAATAGTTTTGGAATCACTCCCATGATAGGTACCTATATAACTCTAGAGAGCTTTGCATGGCCAGAGAGAAGAATAAAAGCATTAGGTGCTTTGTGGGTCAGGAGAAGGAACCCAGGAGGTAAGAGTCAAGGCCAGTGTCCATTGAGATGGCAGCAAACACAGACCTCACACACACTAGTTTTATCCAGGGCTCTGGAAGCAGCACCGTACCAGTATCTATAAGGCCATTCTCTTTGCACCCTCAGGTCAGCTGCCAAGTTCCCCTGTACAAATCTACATGGCTGCTTGCCTACAGAGCAGCATCGGAGTCAGCTGTACGACTTGCCTGAAGGTTCCTGGAGTGATGAAGCTGTTTCAGTAACCTCTTGGTCGTCTTTATTCTGTTTTACTTGGTTGAGTTGAGGCATGTTTTCTATAAAAAGTACCAAAATCATACTGTTATTAACTAATTTATGGTAGGCAGCCCAGACAATAAAACAAAAACAGCTTAGAATAATCACCCAATTCTACTATCATCAACTTCTACCAAACTTAATTACATTTTCAATAAATGTGCTTCCAGATGACTAACAGAGAACCATACATTTTCCACTTAAAAAACTGGCCAAAAGTGATGCACAATTTTTTAGAAATACTTAGAAAAGTCTTTAAAATGTATATACTCTTTGGCTTAGAAATTCTACTTTTAAAAACTTATTCAAAGAAAGTGTCCTGTTATGGCACTGTAGGATAAGCACTGGATTGCTAACCACAAGGCTGGAAAATCAAACCCACCAGCCACTCTCAGAAACCCTATACAGGGTCATTATGAGTCAGAACAGACTCGATGGCACACAACAACAATATTCAAAGAAAAGAATCAGAGATGAGCACTGAAACTTATTATATGCAAATATGCTTATAAGAAAAAATGAAGTCACCTACATGTCTGTTGTTGTTATGGTTAAGTGCCATCGAGTTGGTTCAGACCCACAGTGACCATGTATAGGATTTTTAAAGAGTGGCTGGTGGGTTTGAACCGCTAACCTTGAAGTCAGCAGTCCAGTGCTTATCCTAGAGCACCACACCAGGACTCCAACCTACATGTCTAACACTAGGGAACTGATTTATGTAAATTATGGCACTATGATGTACCACTATGCCCCTTATTAAAAACTACATTTTAAAGAATATTTTAAAACATACATAAAACAAGTTATAATGTGCATAATACAACCCACAGTTATAAAAACACAAATTTTTAAAAGGACTAGCATATCCCTCACAAATCCTGCAGATTTATTATACTATAAATAAAAATTTTAAGTCTAATATTTTATATATGCATGTTTAATGCAGTCTCCCTAAACAAAACAAGACACAATAATGATCGCTCCCCTTCCTGATGACCATATGGGTGATGGTAAGAATTCTGTTTATGTGTCACCCTCAAAATACATCCAAGTACTTTAGTATTTTTTAAAAGGTCAGGCATTTTGCCAATATCTAAAGGAAGGAGAAATGCAAATATAAAGATTTACCTCTTAGAGATGAAGAAACTACAACTTTTATGTTTCTCAAACAACTGAAAGTGATTCACGAGAAGGGCAGCATGCTGGCCTGGTTTGTTTTTAAGTACACATGCTTGCACTCCCACAAGCATTTAATGCCAATTTTTTTATTGTCCTCATGTTCCCTATTTTCTGTGAGATCTTTATCTTGCTAAGCAGTTTGGCTAACATTGGTACTTCTCAGAAAATTAATTCTTGAGAAATTTAGCCCAATGCGTATAATTATGCCTAACTTCTATTGTGTTGCTGTTAAGTGCCGTCGAGGTGGTTCTGACCCATAGCGACCCTGTTTAGGGTTTCCGAGGCTGTAAATCTTTACAGGAGTAGAATCCCTCATCTTTCTCCCCCAGAGCAGCTGGTAGTTTCGAACTGCTGACCGCAAAGTTCGCAGCCTGATTCATAACCACTACGCTACCAGGACTCCTTAACTTCTATTTTAGGAATGGGGGGCAGGTATGAGCAACGGGAGGCTTATCCCAAGACCACTTGATCAGGTTCCATCATCCACCCTATTCCACTGCCCTCCATCTAGGGCTACAGCTCAGAAGAGTTCTGTTCTGGTTGGGGCTTTAGATTCCACAGCTTTCAATTTCCTGTAGCGCTGGAACAGATTGCAAATACAGTTGACCCTTGAGTGATAGCAGTTTGAAGTGCATGGGTCCACTCATATGCAGACGTTCCTAATAAATATATTGAAGCTTTCTGTGATATAGGCACAGATAGCAAAGCAAATAGTGAAGAATGATTGGTATTGTACAGAAATATTTTGAGAATGAAAAAGCAAGAGTCGGACAGAAATTACGATGTATTTCTGTAAAGGTATACCAAGTGAGTGTGCCTGTCTCTCCTGCCTCCCTTTCCATCTCTTCCACCTCAGTCACTCCTGAGACAGCAAGACCCAACTCCTCCTCCTCTGCCTATGCAATGTGAAGATGATTCATCTTGTAAACAGACAACACAAACTTACGGTATCTATCAGTGAATACAGTACAATACTGTAAATGTATTCCTTTCCTTATGATGTTTCTAACACCATTTTGTTTTCTATAGCTTACTTTGTTGTAGGAATACAGAATGTAATACAAACAACATATAAAACATATGACTTTATAGTGTTTTGGGGGAATCAAAAGTTAAACACAGATCTTCAACTGTGTGAGGGGTCGAGCCCCGCATTCTTCTGAGGTCAACTGTACTTGTACTTAATTTGCAATGGGGATAAATTAGGACTGACAGTCAAAAAAAGGAGGTCTGGCGTGGAGCTGTAGGATAAGCACTGGACTAGTAACCACAATATCAGCATTTCAAATTTACCAGCCACTCCCTGGAACCCTATACAGGGTAGCTATGAGTCAGAACCAACTAGATGGCACACAACAACAACAAAGTCAAAGAAAGAGGACCTAAGAAAGGATAGTTCCTTACCAGAGTCAACTTTATCACATACACATAGTCAGAAGTCACAGGCAAAAACTTGGTTTCCTTTTTCAGATCTACCCACAATTCATGCAATTGTCCCAGAGAACAGCAAGGGAGGAGAGGAAAGTTATTACCGTGGCCTTTCGTTTCTTTACGAGATATGAAGTCTGTGGAAGGTCTTATTTCTGGCACTGCTGCTTCTGGTGCTACTGCCTGCTGTAGCCCACTGCTTCCACCCTCCATTTGTTTCTTTTCACATTCCTCCTTTTCTTCTTCCTCCTCCTCCTCTTCTTCCTCTTCTTCTACTTCAGGTTCATCTTTTGTTCTCATTAGAGTGGGAGGGAGTTCTGGACGCCTCGGGGGTAACTTCTATAAGGGAAACAAAACCATGAACAAGGAGTTCCCCATAAGAACAAAATAAGAGGGGCTAATCTTTTCAAGAGGTTAAACTAACTGTAGAATGTCTATGTTGATATACCCTACAAAAGTCTACTGGATACATCAAATTTAATCCATCTATGACCAGGGAGTCCTGGTGTGGCACTGTGGGTTAATTCGCCAGACTTCAAAGCCGTTTGAACAGCAAGGTCAGTGGTTCAAGCTCACTAGCTGCTCCCCGGAAACCCTATACAGGGTCGCTATGGGTCAGAACTGACTCAACAGCACTTAACAACAACGACCCTTAGCAAGTAGCCCTGATGATATAGTGGGTCACATGTTGGCCTGCTAGGCACAAGGTCAGCAGTTCCAATCCACCAGTGGCTCCATGGGAGAATGACAAGAATTTCAGCTATTGTAAAAAATGATGAGGATTTCTGCTCCTGTAAAGATCAACTATCAACATTCATGGAAGCAGCAGTCAAGAAATCAAATGACGTATTGCATTAGGCAAATCTGCTGCACAAGACCTTTTTAAAGTG